TTTCATTTTGAAAAGCAGTTTTGATTTTTTGCAGAGGAGATTTCAGCCTCTGTAAAATGGGTCTCCTCCAGTCTTTGAGAAGGAAGTTTCTTATATGGAGTTGAAAGCAGGAGACTTCGTTTGTGTTATCAGTCCATCTTCGTTTTAAATGCTATTATTTTTCACCAAAGTGAGTGATAAATTTGTGGAATCTTGTTTAGCGCCGTGTGCTTCAAACTCCTAAGTTTGTGTTCATGCCAAAAGAATGAACTACGAAGACTCTGATGTTTGTGAAGCTTCTGATTGTTTATTGGCAGGGCTCAAGGTGGAAATCTAACAGGTGGAGCAAATAAAATCTTAAGATTTCAACTGAGTTACAGGGTTTGTTTGGAATTAAATAGGAGTTATGAAGTATTTTGCCCTGAAAAATGCTATAAAAGGTACTCAGGGCTGGGAAAAATTATAGCAAGGAATGGGGAGGGTGATTAGATAACGTAGTAAATGATTACCTTATAGAAATAAAATAGATATTGTAAAATACCTTTTTCTACTACACTGTACCGAGGGGCGGGGGAAATCTTAATTTTTTCTAAGATGCTGGCCTAGAAACCAGGAGACTGTGAGTTCTAGTCCCACCTTAGATACAAAAGCCTATATGTATGTATGTATGTATGTATGTATGTATGTATGTACACAATTTAATGATCCTGCCTTTGTAGAAATTCTTAAAATGTGTTTTAAAATTCTGTGAATCCATTGGTGAAAATCTTGCACGATTACTAACAAAGTATAACCAACCCAGAGATTGATGTGGAGTTTTTTTCAGTCTGAAGAACTATTTCCATTTGGAGGATTGTGATAATCCAATCAGTTTGTCGGGTTTAAATTAAGAAAATAGCAATAGCACTTAGACTTATATACCTCTTCACAGTGTTTTACAGCCCTCTCTAAGCCGTTTGCAGAGTCAGCAGATTTGCTCCCAACAATCTGGGTCCTCAGTTTACCGACCTCGGAAGGATGGAAGGCTGAGTCAACTTTGAACTGATCAGGGTCGAACTGCTGGCAGTTGGAAGAGTTAGCCTGCAATACTGCATTCTAACCACTGCGCCACCATGGCTCGGATGGTTGATCAGATTCTCTCTTGGATCCCAAGCTTCCTAAATGGTTGAATTATTATTTCTCAGTCATAGCTACCATGCAGATGACTAAATGAAGAGACACATACCTTTCCAAATACTATTGCAAAAAGCCTAGGGAAATAAATTTCTAGCATTGTCACCAAGTACTTAGTGGTTTTGAATTCTGCTCATCGGCACCAGCGTTAATTTGTTTCTTGGTTTTAAACCCTCTTGTAATTACACATTGGGTTGGATTACCCTGTTACATCAAAGCTATTCTTACAATCAATTCTTGCTGTTCCCGGCCACTAATTGGAGTTAGCGAGGAGAGCAGCTTGTGTTGACATGGAAAATCATTACAGTACAACTTTTTAAAAATATCCTCTTTCCAAGCACATGCCTGGAGGAAGAAGCTTGAATTCATTAGTCATTGGGAAGACATGGGTTTTGAAGTGCTGTGTAGCTGTTCAAATATAGAAAATCTAATGTATTTTTCATTCTGAAAAGCATCTTGGTAAATCGAAACAGCATTGTATTGTAGTCCTGCCCCAATTCCTTTAAACAGTTTGCAAGCAAGGATGTTAGTGTATAACTGGCCAATCCTTCATAATGCTTTAGGGGAAGAGGGAAATCATAAATTCTGACTTAAAAATTGTATATAAGGAATAATTGGGACATCATTTTTACATTTCTTTTTCCAAAGATCCTTGTGTACTGTATGTACTGTATAGTAAGTGTTATAGCAACAGCAATAGCATTTAGACTTATATACCGCTTCACAGCGCTTTGCAGCCCTCTCTAAGCAGTTTACAGAGTCAGCATCTTGCCCCCTACAATCTGGGTCCTCATTTTACTGACCTCGGAAGGATGGAAGGCTGAGTCAACCTTCAGGATCGAACTCCTGGCAGTCGGCAGAGTTAACCTGCAATTCTGTATTCTAACCACTGAGTCACTACGGCTCTTATCAGTTTCAAAGAGTGTTAACTAAATTGATGGACAGCAGGTCTGTCAAAGCACTTGGTCTTGAAGATCCAGTATTCTGGCCTGGTTGAAGGCATTTCCGAATATTAGTTGAAGGGGAACAATGGTGACAGAGATCTGGCGCACCATTTTCTGTGTGCAAGTGCTCAGAACATCTTGTTAACTATTCTAGATGAAGGGGACTTGGCCTGATCCAGAAAAAAATGATTCTTATATTTTATAAACATTTGGCATCGTACTGTATAGAGAAGGCTGTAGCAAGAACACTTAATAGTTCAACAAATGTGGGTTTGGCAGCCTTGTAGAACATGCATTAAAAGTGTTGTTTTTGCAAATGAAAGAGATTATTATTGTTCGCCTGACAGTCATTTCTTGTGGGCAAGATTGCAGCTGGACTAAGCTGCAGCTGGACTAAGCTAGAAGTAGTGCAGACTCCCTACTCAATAAGCCAGAAAGACCCAAATTGGCTAGGGCAGGGGTCTCCAAACTTGGCAATTTTAAGACTGCTGGCTTGGGAATTCTGGGAGCTGAGGTCGACAAATCTTAAAAGTTGCCTACTTTGGAGACCCCTGGGCTAATGCTGTATCGAAAAGGACCAAAGATTCAGAGAGCAAATTAAAAGTGTTTTTAATCCGTTGCTGCAATGAACATATTTCAATGGCAACATCACCGTTCTTGATTTTACCTCTGATTTTACCCTGTTTTCCAAAGTAAAGCGGAGGACCAGAATATCTGGTCCAAACATTCAAGTCGAGCTGGAACCCAGATGAGAACAAGAATATTCTCAATAATAATGACTGTGCGATATAATATAATAATATTGTAAGCCACCCAGGGTTACCTTTTGGTCAGATGGGCTGCCAATAAATTTAACAAATAAAATAAATAAGCATGGGAGAAAACTGCGAAAAGCACGATGAAAAAGTAGAGCCAACCCTGTTTTGCTATTTGAAAGATAAATTTTCGAAGAGTTGTGAAGGAGAAATTAAATTCGAACCTAAAATGTTGGCTAGTTTGACAGTTTTCCGTATTTTTCAGATCTGGAATAACCTCTGAGTAAGTCATTTATGGAAGTGCTTTCTATTTTAAAACTATGAAGAGCCGGTGAAAATTCAGTGGTCTGTTGCTAAGATACAAGTTGCAGTGAGTAAGCCAGCCCAAATTCAGTTTTTCCTAAATAATGTGAGCACAAATAGTCCTGATAAAAGTAGGAGAAACTGTCATTATAAAATCTACCCTGCGAAAATTGGAGAAACTCAACAGATGGACTGACTCAGTGTTCGTATTCCTGTATGTTTCTAAAGTTGAAACAGTCTTACTTGATTTGAAATTTCCACTTATAAATGCACTTCAACGCTTCTCAACAGGGGCTAGTTAAAAGCATCTTTGGAAGATCAGAACTGGGTACATCCGAATAAGGAGGGCATGAAAAATAACACACAACAGTAAAGTGACAGAAAAACTGGTCTTAAGTAGGTGAACATCAGAACAACAGCTAGGACTGCTGTTCTTCAAATGTCATTTAGTAAACAGTGGCTACATTTTCAACATGGTCTCTTTTTACATTAGCAAAAGTGAAAATACAGGTTAGGTCAGGGATAGGCAACCTTGGCTCTTTTATGACTTGTGGACTTCAACTCCCAGAATTCCTGAGCCAGCCATGCTGAGGGGAAAGGGAGAGGTTTCCAAGCTGAGCCATGCTGGCTCAGGAATTCTGGGAGTTGAAGTCCACAAGCCATGAGGGGGCCATAGTTCCCCCATGCTGGCTCAGGAATTCTGGGAGTTGAAGCCCACGAGTCATAAAAGAGCCAAGGTTGCCTACCCCTGGGTTAGGTACAGGTTGTCCTTGACTTATGACCAAAATTGAGCCCAGTTATACACTGGCCTACAAAGAATGCCTTCATGTGCTTGCAATATAAACTCCAGGTAGTCCTTGACTTACAACAGTTCATTTAGTGACTGTTCCAACTTAAAAAAGCGCTGAAAAAAGTGGCTTATGACTGTTGCAGCATCCCCACGGTCTCATGATTTACATTCGGGTGCTTGACAATTGATTCACATTTATGATGGTCGCAGCGTCCCAGAGTCACGTGATCCCCTTTTGCGACCTCCTCACAAGCAGAGTCAATGGGAGGGGACCAGATTCACTTAACATCCGTGTTACTAACTTAACCACCACCGTGATTCATTCAACAAATGCCGCAAGAAAAATCATAAAACGGGGCAAAACTCACTTAACAAATTCCTCACTTAGCAGCGTAAATTTTGGACTCCGTTGTGGCCCTAATTTGAGGACTACCTACACTCTTGAGTATTGTTGCTCAAATGTTTGGGAACTTGGGTGGAGGCAATATCGGGACTGAAGAACACGACCAGTGGAGCCAGGCAGAAGCCTAGGTCCGTGGTGGCGAACCTATGGCACGCGTGCCACAGGTGGCACACAGAGCCCTCTCTGTGGGCACGTGCGCCATCGCCCCAGTCCTAGGCCTTCAGCTGGATTTTATAAAATCTTTTCGCTTTAGGCCTCCGCCGCCGTGTGCCAAAAAAAAAAAAGGTTCTATCAATCAGTCAATTTCAATTTCTTGCGGGGAAAAAAAAGATCTCGCAAAGTTGGAATTGATTGATTGAACTTTTTAGTCCCACCCAGTCTGCCGTTACCATCACAGCCACGCCCACCCAATGGGCCACACCCACCCAATGGGCCACACCCACCCGGCACCCGGCGATGCATAAGTGGGTTTTGGGTTGCAGTTTGGGCACTCGGTCTCTAAAAGGTTCGCCATCCCTGGCCTAGGTGGATGTCAGTCCAATGTTGAACCACTAGAATGCATAAAAGATTTTTTTTTTTTCTGCAACAGTATCAGGCTGCATTTTGTAAACATTCCAAGTGTGACGATTCCTCTTAAAACGTCTCTTTGGCAGGCATCAGAGGAGGCCTCCCTCCGAGCCCTGGAGAGCCTGATGACGGAGTTTTTCCACAACTGCACTACGAACGAGAGAAAGCGTGAAATCGGTAAGCCGTCTTCTTTCCCATTTTCTCCCCAAGTTTCGCCCCAAATTTCAGAATGAAGGCAACTTCGTTTTGGTTTGGTGTCTACTCTCATAAGCTCCTTTGAGCACAAGTTGAAGTGCACCCTTCAAAAATATTCCACATTTTTTCCTCCCATTTTAAAGACATTTTGCTTCTCTCTCTCTCTTTTAATGCAATGATCTGTCACTTGCGGCCCTCTGCCAGCCAGCGTCAGATCCTTTGAAAAGACTTTCCTTGCCAGAGAATCTTAATTAGCTTAATAGCAATTATTTGCGGGCAGACATCAGGTATAAAGGTTGATGAAAGTGGGATGGGAACTGTAATGAAACATTATTCTCTTGTGTTCCTTTTGATGAATAATTGTTATTTAGAGCAAGAGTGGGCTAGAGGTACATTGAAAACCACCAAGCTTTGGGGAACCGACCTTAGATCAACCAAGACTTTTTAAGCGCCGTGGCTCAAATGAAAAGCAAGTTTTTAAGCATTTCAAACATCAGCAGGTTAAAAATAAGTTTGTCCTGTGGTTAGTGTTATATCAGTCATTCTTTTTATAAGCCCAGTGGTCTTTGGCTGCAGTTTTTAGAATCTCTGATCGATAGTAACTTTAATGTAAATAATGGTATAAATAGCTCTGGGCCAGGCCTTCTGGCTTTTCTCGTAAAACAGAGGGATATAGAAGTGGCTTTCTCTTGTTCGGTCCCTCCTCTTGTTCCAAATTCTAATCCATGTTTGATTTTATTTTTGCTTTATTTGTCTATCCAGAAGAGCTTCTGAATAACTTTGCCCAGCAAGTCGGTGCCTGGAGATTTTGCCTCTATTTTCTGTCGAGCACGAGAAATGACTACGTCATGATGTATAGTTTAACAGTATTTGAGGTGAGCTACCACACCGGACTAACCATTCTCGTAACTTTACTTGGGTTGTAGAAACTGAACAGAATCGTGTGTTGGAGGGGGAAACCAAGAAATGTCGCACCCTAACAGATTATTCAATTCGTTTCAGTTGAAAACAGTTCATAAGGAAAGCAGAAATGTTTGTGTGTGGATGGTGAAAGCTATAAAATGAAGCATATAAAGCTATCATTAATTTTAAAAGGAGTTAGTTTCAAGCTCTGTTATGGCTATTTGTGACGGAGAGAGCATTTTATTTTTTTATGTATAATTCTGAGTTAGATACAGTTATATATTTTTTCAAGCATGAATCAACTTGATCAAAATGAGATTAAATTAGTCTCCATAGTTGCCTATTTCTCTATTCTCCCGCAATCCTAATATTAGTTACTGGCATGAATTAGTAGAGCTTTAATTTCTTCCACGAACGAGAACCCACCTCTTAATTGTAACTAAATACTTTCCCGCTGAATTCAATTAGTAAATAAAAGCAGATTTCCAAGTAGCACATCTTTTTTAGATTCGGTATTTTTAGCACGCTAACCTCTATATTTAGTACCTTGAATATTAGCTGTAGACCTCAGCAAAGGAGGTTATGTTTCAAAAGATCCTGAATCTGGTTCATAATGATATCTTGTCTGTTTCAGAACCTGATCAATAAGATGTGGCTTGGGGTCCCATCTCAGGATAAAACAGAGATTCGCAGTTGCTTGCCGAAACTTCTTTTAGCTCACCATAAAACTTTGCCTTACTTCATCCGAAACAAACTTTGTAAGGTCATTGTGGATATTGGCCGGCAAGACTGGCCCATGTTTTATCATGACTTCTTCACAAATATTTTACAGGTGAGATTAAAAACTAACTCTGCTGTTTGAAAACAAGGTCATCTGAAGTGTTATCCGTTCTTATGCTGGTGCCTTCAAGTCACTCTTGGCTCCTGAATTTCAGACATGATTTGCCATTGCCTGCTTCCTAGGGCTGAGAGAGAGTGACTGGCCTGAAGTCACCCGGCTGTCTTTGTGTCTAAGGTGGCACTAGAATTCGTAGTCTCCTGGTTCCTTTCCTGATGTCTTAATCACTGCAGTATAATCCTCGCTTACCAGCCATTTGTTCAGCCACCGTTCGAAGTTGTAATAGCACTGAAAAAAGAGACTCGTGACAAGTCCTCGGGTTTTCACATCCCAGCACTGGCCATAGTCACATCATCACGATCTGGACATTTGCAGCCATCTTACATTATGACGGTTGCCGTGCCCTCCGGTCACACGATCCCCATTTTCAACCTATTGGGCTGGCTTCCCACCAGCAGAGTCAATGGGAAGCTGATAGGGAAAATCACAAGTCACTCCGCTAAGTACTTGCGCCTTCCTCCACCTGGCAGTAACCATCCCTGGTGCCGCCAGGCTCGCACTATACCCTGCCTGCCAACCTGTTTGTGAGCTGCCTAAGGACTCATTATAAAGACCCGCATTGCTTGCTTAATGGCGGCAATGTGAGCTGCTGTTGCTAAGCGATGCAGATATGTGATGTGCTTTACAACTATGTTACTTAGCTACAGAAATTCCAGTCCTAAGGACCATCATTAACTGAGAACCGCTTATACACCAGACTGGCTCTCTATTCTGAATATATTGATTCTGCAGGTAGCTTTCCAAGGAATGGATGGATAGATGGATGGATGGATGGATGATTGGTTGACTGGATGGATGGATGGATGGTTGGATGGATGGATGGATGGATGGATGGATGGATGGATGGATGGATGGATGGTTGGTTGGTTGGTTGGTTGGTTGGTTGGTTGGTTGGTTGGTTGGTTGGTTGGTTGGTTGGTTGGTTGGTTGACTGGATGGATGGATGGATGGATGGATGGATGGATCAATCGATGGACAGATGGGGGGGTGGATGGAGGGATGGAGAGATAGACAAATAAAAAGAAAGCTGTTCATGCTAACAATCCATTCTCTTTTAACAGTTGATCCAGTCCCCAGTGACAACTCCACTTGGACTGATCATGCTGAAGACCACGTCCGAAGAGCTGGCCTGCCCACGGGAGGACCTCAGCATCGCCCGGAAGGAGGAGCTGCGGAAGCTACTCCTGGAGCAGGTTCAGAATGTCCTTGGACTTCTCACGGGTTAGTGAGACAGGAAAACCCAGGTTATATGGCAAGGGGCAGCTGACAAGGGAAGCTGGCAGTTTGCCTTTAGATGGATGTTGAAGCATCTTTCACTTTATTCATTTACTTATTTGTTAAATTTATTTGCCCTGTCTTGCCATTGGGGCTACCCTAGACCAGGAATCTGTCCGCAGGCATGCCAGCACCCCGGGCCGCTCAAACAAGCGAAGCCCCATCCGTGGGATGCAGGCAGCATGCAAAATCACCCCACCCTCCACGGAAAAACCTTTCTCTATGGAACCGGTCCCTGGTGCCCACCGGTGCCCCAAAGGTTGGAGCCACTGCTCCAAGAATAAAAAGGAAGAAATGAAAAGAATATAAACAGCAGAATTAAAATAATAGAACCATACACTAAACAGTGAAAAAAATGAGAATACATCAGTAGGTAACAAAAAAGATGGACGGGTGGAGAAGCAGAGAGCATTCTGGGTATCCTAGAATGTTATCGATGTTTGACTCTGTGTGTGATCCAAACCTCTTTTTTTTTTTAACGCAAAATGTTAACTTTTTAGCTGGCCATAGCCAGTAATAAATACAGTGTAATAGAGGAGAGACTGGTCAAGGAGAAGTCCTTTCCTAGAGCAACTTTAGGATAGCCCTCAACAGTTCTGAGCTTGCTTTGGTGCTAGTGGGGTTTCTGATATCAGCCATACTTCTCCCCAAAAGTCAAAGTCAAGCCCACCCCCGAACTACCAATATCTAAGGAGTCTGAAATAGGATTTGGGGTCATCCAGTGGCCAAGTAAATGCATTCATGAAGCTCACGAGCAGGAGAGGAATCTTTGGTGATCTTCTTCTCTCTCCTGCAGTTAGAATGTAGGTATGCTACGGTGATTTAGGAATGAAGAGTTTAGCCTTTCATGAGCATAGCTGTTTATAATCATATTCTCCCTGAATTTATCCCATCCCCCTATGAAACCTTCAAAACTAGTGGCCGTCCCACTGATGGCAGTAGGTTGCTTAATTTAACTTAGTGTTTCTCAACCATGGCAACTTTAAGGTGTGAAGACTTCAACTCCCAGCTGAACTGGGTGGGGAGTTCTGGGAATTGAAGTCCCCACATCTTAAAGTTGCCATGGTTGAGAAACTCTGGTCTAACTACACAAAGTACGAGGAAGTATTTCTTTTTTAATTGCATAGTTTGGATGACTTCGAAATCTAATACTGTAAAAGAAGAGTTTCTAAGCCGTTTTCCCACGCTATACAGTATTTTAAATGTTTCTGTTTCCCCATCAACTTCTTTCTTTCTGAAACAAGAACTATGACAGACCTCAGGAGAGTACAAGCAGACACATTTTTTTTAACAGTCCACTGATTAAAATCCGAACCTCAAACAACCTCGTATTTGTTGCCAAAGTAGCCCTGTTAATGATCAGTTTTGTTTCTGGGAATCCTGCTGTCTCTTAAGACAGGGCTTTTCAACCTTTTCACCCATTGTACCACTTTTAGGATATGGCAACATCCGAGTACCACCAGTCGCCTAGCAAGGTGTCAAAAACTTGATGACCAAAAAAAAAAAAAAGGGAAAAAAGTGATAAAGTACAGGTAGTCCTCGACTTACAACAGTTCGCTTAGTGACTGTTCAAAGTTACAATGGCACTGAAAAAAGTGCCCCCCGAGTCACAGCCGAGCAAGACACCTGCCTGCCCACCCGGCGGCGTTCTTCCTCCTGTCCGAGGTTTCCATTGTTGTGAGCATTTCTGTTGAGGATTGGCAGCGGGGGTGGGTTGGGGGTGTGTGTGGTTTTTATTCCCCCTCCCCGTCTTCTGGGTGGTTGCAGCAGGTTTTGGTCACTTCACATGACCCTGGGACACTGTGACCGTCATAAATATGAATCAGTTGCCAAGCATCTGAATGTAAATCACAAGACCCTGGAGAGGCTGCAACATTCCAGCTGATCGGCGCTTCTTCTGGGCTCAGCAGAAGCACCAGGATCAGCGCCGAGCTCCAGTTGGAACCTGGCGCTGATCCTGGCGCTTCCACTGAGCCCTGACAGCCCCGAAGAAGCGCTGATCCCGGCGCTTCCGCTGAGCCCTGACAGCCCTGCAGTTCCAGCCATCTCTCGCTCAGGCTTGTGCGGTGCTGCCACCGGTTCAGCTCATTCCCCTCCCCTGCTACCACTTTTCTAGGATGGTCGCGTACCACCTGCCAGGTGCCAATGTACCACAGGTGGTACCTGTACCACTGGTTGAAAAGCCCTATCTTAAGACCTCCCACCCATTTTATTTTTCCTGCTAAGAAAAAGATGTTAGCAGCATTCTCCTTCAGCATTCATGTTGGGGGCTTGAAAGAAACAGTCAAGAATCTGATGCTGATTGGCAGGTAAAGAGACCGTGATGCCCAGAGCACAAGTCCTAAGTGCTTGAGGTTAAAAATGTTTCTCAGATTACCCAAATTCCACTGACCTGCTTGGAATAACAAACTTGTAACTGAGGCTTAACACTGAATAGGCGAAAGGTTTTGCAGCCGCTGAAACTTCGGTCTTCTTTCCTGGCAGGAATTTTGGAGAGCATCTGGGATAAATACAGTGTTACGGCAGCCACACCTCCGCCATCTCCGACGTCCCGGGAAAGCGGTAAAATCTTGAGTCAGTCTTTGTTTCTCATTCGGTGTCTGTATAGGTAGTCCTCAACTAGCAACCATTTAACAGTGGAAATTCTGGTCCCATTTGTAATTGTAAGTCGAGGTTTACCTGTAATTCACAGTGACACCTACAGCTTGGGAGTAAATCGGTATCTGGGACTAGGGAAGGAAGACAAGATGGTTTCTGTAAAACAAAACTTGCAAGTTGTACAGGAATTGCAACGGCGCACCTTATTGTGATGTTGTTCTTTGCTTGTTTCTGGAGGGATAACAGTGACTGTTAGAAAAGTTGTGGTAGATTTGTGGTGTATCCCCGGACTTCTGGCCCTTATGAATTAGGGAATGTTTCTCAAACCTTGGCAACTTTCAGAGGTGTGCTGGCTGGGGAATTGTGGGAGCTGAAGTCCACACTTCTTCTTTTTTTTTAATTGAAAATTTTATAAAAGTTTTACAATATAATTCCCCCCCCAGAACCCACCCTTCCCCTCCCCCCTCCCTCCCTCCCCACTTCCCAGAGCCAATCACAGGGTTAACAATACAATAACCATACTCTATCTAACATTAATCAACTATTAGATTAACAAATCTGTAACATCCTTTAACTCTCTTTTAAACAAATATACTAATATTAAACACAATAATTATAACATCATATTAATAATTATAAGTAAAAATAAGTGACCTATTATAACATATAAACTACATTAATACTCTACAATTTACTCAAAAACCAAGTGAAATTTTTTAGTACCATATTTACTCTCAATATAATCTATCCATCTTCTCCAAACCGAAATATATCTTTCTTGTGAATAACCCTTCACATAAGCGGAAATCTTGGCCATTTCTGCTAAATTTGAGACTTTAAGTGACCATTCTTCTATAGTGGGCAAACGTTCCATTTTCTAACATTGAGCTACTAGTAGTCTTGCAGCAGTTATCAAATTCAACATCAAATCCATTTCTTTTTTATCCAAATCTTCCATAATACCCAGCAGAAATATCTGCGGCTTAAACTTTATCTTTTTCTTAAAAATATTTTGAATATTCCACCATATCTTAATCCAAAATGCCTTTACTTCCCTGCATGTCCACCACATATGAAAATAGGTTGCATCTAAGTTTCCACATCTCCAATACTTAGGTTGTAAATTAGGATACATGCAGGACAATTTTTGAGGATCCAAATGCCACCTATAAAACATTTTATAAAAATTTTCCCTTAAATTTTGAGCTTGAGTAAATTTTACGTTTCTAATCCAAATTGTCTCCCATGTTTCCAGTAAGATCGGTTCTTGTATATTTTGAGCCCATTTTATCATGCAGTCCTTAACCAATTCTGTTTCTGAATCCAATTCAATCAATGCGTTATAAATTCTTTTAATATGAGCTTGAGATTGATCTTTAATCTGTTTCATCAAATTTACATCCTGTAAAGTAATACCAACTTTTTGATCCAAACGCCACCTCATTAACAATTGGTTATAATAAAACCAAGAATATTCAATGTTTTCTTGTTTCAAATCTACTAAAGATTTAAGTTGCCAATCTCGTCCTGCCGGACAAAGTAGTTCCTTATAAGAAACTTTATCCAAATTAACTCCCCTAGATATCCCCTCTATTACCTGTCCTGGAATTGCCCAGATAGGAATTTTATAATTTAATTTATGATTATATTTCTTCCAAACTCGTAATAAAGCACTTCTTAAAATATGAACCTTAAAATTTTATCTACCTTTTTATCATAAATTAAATATGCCTGCCAACCAAATAACAAATCCCATCCTTCAAGAGAAAGTATATTTCTATTTGTTAAATTTAGCCAATCGCTAATCCATGTCAAAACCACCGCATCATAATACAATTTTAAATTGGGGACTTTAAGTTCTCCTCATTCCCTTATATCTTGCATAATCTTAAACCTAACTCTTGGCTTCTTGCCCGCCCAAATAAACTTATTAATACCCTTTTGCCAATCCTCCAAATTAGCATCTTTTTTTAAAATAGGGATCATTTGAAACAAGAAAAGAAATTTAGGAAGGACATTCATTTTTACTGCTGAAATTCTCCCCAACAAAGATAATTGCAATTTTTTCCAATCATTTAAATCCTTTTGCACCTTAACCCATAAAGATTCATAATTATTCTTATACAATTTAGCATTAGAAGCTGTAATATAAACTCCCAAGTATTTTACCTTTTTAACCATTTCAAAACCTGTGAGTGTAACTAACATATCTTTATCATTCATAGACATATTTTTCGGTAATATTTTAGTCTTATTACAATTAACCTTAAAACCAGAAACTTTCCCATATTGTGCAATAATTTCAACCAAGTCAATTACCGAGTCTATTGGCTGAGTTAATGTTAACACTAAGTCATCTGNGTCGGCCTGCTCCGTCTCTGCCGCTTGCCAGCTACGCCTCGGCCGGCGCAGGGGGCGGAACCACGCATGCGCGGTGCTCCCGGGCAGGGAAAGTCCTCGACTTACGACCGGTTGGGTAGTCCTCGACTTACGACCGGTTTAGTCCTCGACTTACGACCGGTTTAGTCCTCGACTTACGACCGGTTTAGTCCTCGACTTATGACCGGTTGGGGGTCGCGGCATTAAAAAGGTTGAGAACCACTGAGTTAAAGCCATCCTAAGAAATTGCAGAGGCTGGCTCTCTCATTAGCACAGATTGCTGCGTTCCTCGCACACAGACGCCAGCACGGGCTGTCTGTTCGTTAAAAAACAGGGCTCCTGCTTGATATTGGCTGCCCAGTTTTAATTAGGGGTGACCAGAAGCTCCCTTCAGAAACACGAGAGGGGTGATGAGTACGCTGGTAACCCCGAAGGTCCTCTTCTCAATGAACAAGCTCTCAGGACTATTTCAAGGGCAAGTCAGCAGGATTTCCTGTCTATTCCACTAGGCCAGTAATGGCGAACCTTTTAGAGACCGAGTGCCCAACCTGCAACCTAAAACCCACTTATGTATTGTCGGGTGCCGGGTGGGTGTGGCCCATTGGGTGGGTGTGGCCAATTAGGTGGGCATGGTCCATTGTGTGGGCATGGCTTCAGTGGTAACGGCAGAACTGGGTGGGGCTAAAGAGTTCAATCAATCAATTCCAACTTTGCGAGTTCTTTATTTTTCCCGCGAGAAGTTGAAATTGACTGATTGATTGAACCTTTTTTTTTTGTACACGGCAGCGGAGGCCTAAAGCGAAAAGGTTTTATAAAACCCAGGTGAAGGCCTAGGACTGGGGCGACGGCGCGTGTGCCCACAGAGAAGGCTCTGAGTGCCGCCTCTGGCACCCGTGCCATAGGTTCGCCACCACTGCACTAGGCTGCTGGGGTAAAAAATCAGATCCAGGTAGCCCTTGACCTATGACTATAATGGACCCTGCCCATTATGGCCACATGTCATGATGTGTGTTAAGTGAGATTGACTCACTTAAATGACCCTCCCCCCTCCATCTCTCTGGTGCGGTCATTAAGTAGCACACAAAGTGGATAGGAGAAGGCTACTGCAGGCACCAAGGCGCCTGCCCAAAACCTCCCAAGGCCTCTCCCCATCCCCTTTGTCATTTGTACTCTGCTCCCCACCCCTTGGGGTCCTCAAAGCCCTTGAGCCTGCTTCACCCCTCACCGGGTCCCCACAGCCCTTGGGCCATAAGTAGCTTTGTTGGAGGGGTGGTCATAACTTTGCTAACGGTCGCTAAGGGACCAGTCATAAGCCTATTGTTAGCAATTCTTAACCTAACTGAACTTACTCATGTGTATGTGTGTGTTCTCTTCTGCAGGTGACCTTTTGAGTAGCCTGTTGCAGAGTCCCCGTGCAGCCAAGTTACTGAACCAGCCAATCCCCGTCCTTGACGCAGAGAGCGAGTACGTTTGTTCCCTGGCTTTGGAGTGCCTAGCCCACCTTTTTAGCTGGATCCCGTTGTCGACTAGTATCACCCCTTCCCTCCTCACCACCATCTTCTACTTTGCCCGCTTCGGCTGCGACACCCGCGCCAGGAAGATGTCCTCCCTCAACGGCAGCAACCAGAACGCCGCCTTGAGCCACGAACGTGGCCAGCTGGGCGTCCTGGCCATGTCTTGCATCAACGAACTCATGTCCAAGAACTGCGTGCCCGTGGAATTCGAAGAGTACTTACTCCGGATGTTCCAGCAGACCTTCTACCTCCTCCAGAAGATCACCAAGGAGAACAACACCCATACCGTGAAGAGCCGGCTAGAGCAGCTGGACGAGAGGTAAGACTTGAGCGCCTCAAACCAGCCGCTTTTCAAGTTACTTCAAGATTACCTTTGCCGATGACTTGTTATGCATGGTGTGTCTAATCGCCTTTTTTCAGAGCCCCGGGATGGAGGCGGGAAAACAGCCAGGTAAGTGTGACCCAGGTACGTTGGCTGTGTGGGCGGTCAACTTGGCAGAAATGAGTTTGCGGTGGTCTCGGAGTTGTGTTTCTTCTCCCCTCCAACCCCCCGTTCATTACAGCTTTGACTGCAGGTCTGAGGTGGTTCAAGATCTCACAGTTGGCCTCCATTCGGTTGTTGCTGAAAGCAGCCGAAGAGACCCGGTGAGGTAAAAGGATGTTTGTTTTCTGGTTGGCATCTTCCTTCGGAAGGAATGGGTGGAAGGGTCTGGTTTTGAGGGAGAAGAGGCCTTAGGAATGTGTCGGGGGGTCTCCCGAGGGCTGTGCTAGCTAAGGGCAGTGGGAGATGCGGTCAGCGCTTGGACAAAATGAGGGCAGAATTTTAATTTTTTTTTCCTAAAGAATTGTTGGAACAGCTTCAGGTACGGTAGTTGGAATGAATTTGAGCTGCTTGGAAATAAACTACGCAAGGAGCATTCCAAAACCCGATTCTGTTCTTTATTTTTGATTTTCTTCTCCTTGTCAATGAGATTCTTTGATGAGATTCTGCCTGGATTTTGGGTTTTTTTGTAGACTCCATCCAAAAGCCTCTGGGCTTGTTTTGACAGCAGTTGAGGAAGGACCAAAAAGCATAAAAGGGATATTTTAGATTTTGGCAAGCACTATTGAAATGGAGGTTGGCAGGAACAGTTGCAGAATGCAGCCCTCGCATTTTACTGCTGATCTGCTGATCAGCCGTAACCGGCAGGAAAATTTCTGCCTGCAGTTGAATGTCTCTGGAAGGCTTTCTTTAAAAAAATGAAACAAACCCAAAACTCTTAGAAAGAAGCTGGTATAGACTGTCGTCCTTGAGAAAGAGATTTTTCTTTAGTACATATTAATGACTTGAGGACACCAGTCAGAACTTCACAATACTCAGTTCATCTCTTATTAATTCTCATCTCTGGACCAGTGTTTCTCAACCTTGGCCGTTTTGAGATCTCTGGATTTCAAGTCCCAGAATTCCACAGACAACCATGCTGCTGCTATGGAATTCTGGGAGTTGAAGTTCAGATATCCTGGAAATTGAAGTCCAGAAACATTGCTCTGGACCTTCTGGACCCATGGCTGGAATTCTGGGAGTTGAAGTCCACACATCTCCAAGCAGTTGAGGTTGAGCAACACCAACCTTCTAACCTTTGGACCCCTATTTGATCTCTTAACACCATATTTCTTTTCTAGAATTCTTTCCTACTCCAGAGAAGCTGGGGGGGGTGGATATTGAGTGAAATACCTGTTAAACCTGGGTGGTTGCCCTAGCAACTACAGCTGCGGTGGATTGGCTGAAGGGAGTGCTAAATTGGGAGAGAGAGAAAACTTGGGATGCATTAAACCAGGGGTCCTCAACCTTGGCAACTTTAAGACTTGTGGACTTCAACTCCCAGAATTCCTCAGCCAGCAAAGCTGGCTGAGGAATTCTGGGAGCTGAAGTCCACAAGTCTTAAAGTTGCCAAGGTTGAGGACCCCTGCATTAAATTAAACCTTTCAAAATCCCTCCATTCTGGCTGAAGTCTCCAAGCTGAGACTTTCTTCCACACCTCCCTTGCTTGTTTTGCAAAGTCCACCAATTCTTTCCCTCCTATTTCCAGCAGCAGCAGTTCCTCTTCATTGCCGGTGCAGGTAGGACAGTCTGAAAGCTAGCGCAGACAACTGATTGTATTATTTGAGTCACACGTTATTCCTGGATTAAAGTGGGGACCTCAGGCAGTCCTAATTTAAGACTGGCTCCCAGTTACGGTTCTTGGGTGAGCCCAAGAGTGTGGCCCATCTCTTAATTGGAGGACTTCCAAACAAGACGGATGTCAGGATTACTAGAATGATGTACAGAGAAACATCCAAAAGGTGAAAAAAATGGCAACCAACGCTTTAGATGGCCCATCAGCATTTCCTGGCACCCCAAACCTTTTTCATGGGTGATTTTCTTTGCCATTTGGGGGAATGTAAGGGACAAAATGCATGCCTTAAGCCAGGGCTTTTCAACCAGTGGTAGGGTACCACCTGTGGTACATTGGCACCTGGCAGGTGGTACGCAACCATCCTAGAAAAGTGGTAGCAGGGGAGGGGAATGAGCTGAACCGGTGGCAGCACCGCACAAGCCTGAGTGAGAGACGGCTGGAGCTGCAGGGCTGTCAGGGCTCAGTGGAAGCACCAGGATCAGCACCAGGCTCCAGCTGGAGCTTGGTGCTGATCCTGGTGCTTCTGCTGAGCCCAGAAGAAGCACCAATCAGCTGGAATGTTGCAGCATCTCCAGGGTCTTGTGATTTACATTCAGATGCTTGGCAACTGATTCATATTTATGACGGTCACAGTGTCCCAGGGTCATGTGAAGTGACCAAAACCTGCTGCAACCACCCAGCCGATGGGGGGGAATAAAAACCAAACACCCCCCCACCCACCCCAACTGCCAATCCTCAACAGAAATGCTCACAACAATGAAAACCTCGGACAGGAGGAAGAGCGCCACCGGGTGGGCAGGCAGGTGTCTTGCTTGGCTGTGGCTTGGGGGGCACTTTTTTCAGCGCCATTGTAACTTCGAACAGTCACTAAGCGAACTGTTGTAAGTCGAGGACTACCTGTACTTTATCACTTTTTTCCTTTTTTTTTTGGTCATCCAGTTTTTGACACCTTGCTAGGCAACTGGTGGTACTCGGATATTGCCATATCCTAAAAGTAGTACAATGGGTGAAAAGGTTGAAAAGCCCTGCCTTAAGCCATTTTACTCCCTGGAGCTCCCCAAACCTGCACAAAGCAGGTGTTGGCCCTTCCCATTTTCACAGGTAGTCCTTGAAATCCTGATAGAAGTTGAATAGAGTGTGTTGCTTTCTTAGAGGTCAAATAAATGCAAATCGATGATGGATTGTGTCTTATTTATTTATTTATTTATTTATTTATTTATTTATTTAATAAAACTTATATGCTGAAAATATGGGAATTGCTAAAAAAAAAAAAAAGTTCTTCGCTGTAGCGCTCTAAATTCTGTGACTCGACTAAACGTAGCTCAAAACATTGAAATTGTATGTTTTGTTTTTATCTTTGCGTATTTACTTTGCCTAACCAGCTTTTCCGAATTAGCGGTTTTTGTAAAGATCTGATAGGCCGCGAGTTCCGCTTACAGATGGGGATCAGACCCAGTGAATGTTTGGAGTGACAGCTTGGTTTTTCATTCTCTTGGCATAGTATTATTCTACAATTGGTTGGCTTGATGAAAGAAGACTTTACCCAGTATTGAGAGAATGATTTATATCACAAGTTTTTTTTTTAACCTTAAAAAGAAGGCTGTTTGCACTCATGCTTCATGTCACAATATCTAGACCTGTTGGGAACGGGTAGTTTCTGAAAATTAGTATCCTGGCTTGCAACTTGCTCTCTGTTCAGTGAAGAACAGGAGGCTGAGGAATTCTGGGAGTTGAAGTCCACAAGTCATAAAAGGGCCAAGTTGGAAGAGCCCTGGTGTAGAAACATCTGTTGGCAGGAAATTCTGTTCAAACACGAACAGAATTCTTTTTTTTTTTATTATTAAAATTTATTAGGTTTTATAAGGGTAGGAAAGGGTTAGGGTTGGGGATAGGGTCGGTATAAGTATTGGGTAGGATTGGGAAATAGAGTTAAGATAGGTACAGTAGTCATTCAACGCTTTAGCAAGCGGACTATCGTCCGGGTACAAATATTAAATAACAGTAGTTAATATAGTATGAGACACTTATAATCACTAAAAATAGCAATAGTCATGAAAGCAATAGTTAATCAATAGGTCTCATTCAGCCTATTAAGTTTCACATTCCTTTCTCGCTAGCTCGTATTGTTAACCATTGATAGAATTTTTCCCATGTTTTAAAATAAACTTGAGTCTTCTTTCTCTTTAATCTCTAACGTTAGTCTGTCCATTTCTGCACATTCTTAAGATTTTTGTAATTATAATTTGGTCAGATGGTAAGTTCTCACTTTTCCAAAATTGGGCAAATGCTATTCTCGCGGCTGTCAGTACATGTAATATTAAATATTCGTTCTCTTTTTCCATAATTAAGTCCAAATATTCCTAGCAAGAACAGTTCTGGTTTAAATTCTCTCTGCATTTTGGTCATCTTTTCCAACCATATGTGAATCTTAAACCAAAATTTCTTTGCGTAAGGGCATACCCACCAGAGATGATAGTAAGTGCCTGGTTTTTGTTTACGTTTCCAGCAATTATTTGATACGTTTTTAACTAATCCCGTTTTTCCATCCAATGTCAGCAATGGTGAAATGCATGAGCCATTAAGGGGGTCTCATTGTGGAAGCTCTTAGCTTGAACAAGCACAAAAGTTGCTTTTTGACCAGAGTCTTTTTCTGCTGTTTCAGGTAATAATGGAATGAAGGGTTGCCCGCTGTGTAGGTAATAACTGTAGAGCTTTAATTCAATTGTTAAAATGGACAAACCTGTTACCTTTTCAAAGAACAATCCAGTGGATTTTAATTCCTTCTTCTTTGGTTGCTCTTTAGCAGTGTCCCCCATTTGCTGACTCGGGGCTCCTTCCCCTTTCTCTTGCAGCTACATAGAGAAGTTTACTGATTTCCTACGTCTTTTTGTGAGCGTCCACTTAAGAAGGATCGAGTCGTATTCGCAGTTCCCGGTGGTGGAATTTCTCGCGCTGCTGTTCAAGTACACATTTCACCAGGTACGGCTTTAAAACGGGCAGCTGGGTTCCCGTGTCACGATCCCCTGCCTTGGATAAACGCAAAACTTATTTTCTGTGTATTTTGGTTCAGCAGTTGTGCGTGGTAGGAAATCCGATTGGTTTTTTACCCTTTTATTGACTAACCTTGCATTTCGAAATAGCGCCCGTCTTGGGTTGTGGATTGTCCCCTGCAAAACCTGTATGCATGTTTTGCTATCTTGGCTACCTATGTACAGGTAGTTCTCAACTTAACAACAGTTCGTTTAAGGGACTGGTCCGGGTTCAGTCGGAATCTGCTCCTTAAAAGAAAACCAGATCTCTGGATAGAAGGGGAAAGGCTTGGGTTTTTTTTTGGTTTTTTTATGGAATGACTTACAAATGTATCTGTTCACCACCAGTTGTGGGGCTAAACAGCCTGTTTTTTGTTGTGCCTGTTTCAGCCCACCCATGAAGGTTACTTTTCCTGCTTAGACATCTGGGCTCTCTTTTTGGACTATTTGACCAGTAAAATAAAGAATCGCTTGGCAGATAAAGAAGCAGTACTCAACAGGTGAGCCACACAGAGTTTGCTGTTCAGGTTGGGCACCAAACAAAAGACATGCCTTGATTACCTGACTCGTTGTTTTGTCCGTGTCCCTTGAAGAGTTCAAGGTCCCTGCAGCGATGCTCAGAACCGCGAAAATCTACCCAGCTTTGGTATTAATACCAAAGGTGTATTCTCACGGAATCTCTTCCGTTGCTCCGTGGCACCCATCTTGCCTTCAGACATATTCTGGGAAAGCAGGTAGTCCTCGACTTAACTACAGTTCATTTAGTGACCGTTCAAAGTTGCAACGTCATGGGAAAAAAGGGACTTACGACCATTTTTCACATTTCCAACCGTTGCAGCATCCCGAGGGTCATGGGATCAGAATTGGACCTTGGCAGCTGACTCATGAAGGTTGCCGTGTCCCAAGGTCACGTGGTCCTCTTTAGTAACTTTCTGACCAGCACAGCCAATGGGGGAAGACGGATTCACTTCACAAGTGGGTTACTAACTTATCAACCGCAGCGATTTGCTTAACAGCAGTGGCAAGAAAAGTTGTAAAATGAGGCACTTAACAAATGTCATCATTTGACAACAGAAATTTGGGACTCAGTTGAGGTCATATGCAGTGGTGGGATTTAGCCAGTTTGCACCAGTTCGGCAGAACTAGTAGCTAATTTTTTGTGCCCAGGCCCAGAATGGACTTCTGGAAGCGGCATCCACACAGAGAACTGGTTGTTCACCTATTTGAATCCCACCACTCCTTCCTTCCTTCCTTCCTTCCTTCCTTCCTTCCTTCCTTCCTTCCTTCCTTCCTTCGGTCGGATTCAGCCGGTTCGCACCACTTCGGCAGAACCGGTAGCTAATTGTTTGTTGCCCGGGCCCAGAACGGACTTCCGGAAGCGGCATCCACACAGAGAACCGCTTGTTCACCTATTTGAATCCCACCACTGGTCATACGCCATGCTGTTTGCTTGGGAAAGAGCAAAGGAACCATAGTCAATGCGTGGGGAATCACGGAACATGGAATTATGAGCTGTTTCAATTGAAACCCTTAGTAGGAGGCAGTCTGAAATGCGCAGCCTCTTAACTACATATTAAATGTCCAGTAGGCGCATCCTCCAGTCCTCCCTGTCATACGTTTGAGAACAAAAAAGCTAATGTAAATGGGAAGACAATGTTGTGGTCTGGCTCATTAAGAATGGAGCAATTCTTAAACTCTTTCCATCAGAGTTTATGACTTGGAGTAGAGTGAACGGGGAGCCAGCCAGCACAGCTGTCCCTATAATAGCAAGGCCTGGAGAAGCAGGATAAGATTGCACTATTTTTTATGAAAGGGCCGCCATTCTTTCCCCATGGCTCTTTCTGCAATCCTTGGAACAGGAAGTGGAGAGTTGAGTGTGTAGATGTAAACGGGACTGCGTTTGCAACACAGGGCCAGCCTTTGAGACTTCTGCTTAGCATAGCCTAACCTGCTTTGTCTATTCAGGAGAAGAGTGTCGTATTCACATGATCCGGGGGACACTGAGGCTGCCGGTTGCCTTGTTCATCTCCCTGCCTGCCTGCCTGGTATTCCTCTGTGATCCAATTCACATCAGTATCCTATTCAGATGTTGCTTGTCTCCTATGAGAAGAGCAGCCGGATCAGGCTTTGGTGCTAGTTTCTGTAGGACAAATATCTGAAAGAGAAAACGATCAGGTCTGTCTCCTGGGCTAGGAGGACAACTCTCATCTACAAGTAATTTCAAGATCTCTTCTTCTCCCCCCCCCCCTTTGTTAGTTTGCTTCTGGCAGCATTGAGAAGCTGATTAATATATTACTCCAAGGTTAGTTTCCCACCTCTTGCGAAACAGGCCCAAAGAATTTATATCATGTTTATATCAGATGAAGGAGAAAAATCACATACAGGTAGCCCTTATGACCACAGGGGACTGAAGCAATGCGGTTTGGTTTAATGAGTTGCGCCCGATTCTATGACCTTTTTTACTACAGTCACTAAGCGAATCCGGCATCCCCCCCCCTTGACTTTGCTTGTTGGAGGCCAGCTGGGAAGGTTGCAAATGATGATCAGATGATCCCGGGAGAGTGCAACCATCGTAAAAACATCCCGATTGCCAAGGGCCTGAATTTTGATCATGTGACTGGGGATGTACGATGGTCATAAGTGCGAGGACCGGTCAAAGCTCACTTTTGGGGGGGGCTGTTGTAACTTTGGTCATGATGTCGAGAACTACCTGTATTTTTCTTTTCATTTGAAAGAAGGATGGGGCAGAAAATAGTTCTTGCAATTTTGCTAAGTCACTTCCAGGCAATTAATCTCAGTTAGATCTACGAGTATGCTGATTTTTATTTTATTTTTTAAATTGCAACGAGGTTAATTTGTGGGGAAATGGGCTATCTTCTAAATATGCAGTTAGTAACCACCTTATTTCTAGGAAATAATCCTCCCCAGGCCATACTGCAAATCTGAGAAATTTAATTTACCCTAAACCAGTGGCACTGAAATGTTTATGTTTATTTAGATTTGTATACCGCCCTATCTCCCTTACGGGACTCGGCGGTGAACAGGCGATAATAAAAATCACAATAAATATCTATTCTAAAATCAAATTAAATGTGTGGGATTTACGTTTCATACTCCTTAATCTGCAACTGGAGAAGGACAAGTGCTTTTTTTCAGAAAAAAGAATTTCCTAGTGCAGGGGTCCCCAACCTCCAGTCCATGGACCGGTACCGGGCCACGGCATGCCAGCAACCGGTCCGCACAAACAAGGAAAGCTCCATCCCTGGGATGCAGGCAGCACACAACACCAGATCCCCTCCGGCCCGCAGAAAAACCTCTCTCCATGGAACTAGTCCCTGGTGCCCCAAAGGTTGGGGACCTCTGCCCTAGTGGGACCAGTTTTATCCAAACCGTGCAAGGAAAAGCGGGCAAATAAATTTCCATGGGCAAATTTATGCAGATTTCCGCATATCAACCGGCAGAAACGTTAAGCAAATTCGCTTTTTAGTTAACGCCTCATTTGCAGTCTGGGGGAAGAAGGAAAGCACTGCAGAATCTCTCAAAACTCTTTATTTCTCTTGGTTTTGAGAAGTCACCAAACTTCCCTTCAAAGCTCCCAATCACTGAGAAAGAGTTATTGTTATTTTTAAAGGCTACAGTTCTCTAATGGTTTCCAGGGGCCCGGTGTCATCAGTCCTGGGATGACTCAATAAACTGGGGACTTCTCTGTCTGGCAAAATTCACAGCAAGCCATGGGTCAACCTTGCCTGCACACGATGCCTTGAGGACATAAATCCCTTGCTTGCTGAAGAGAGTTTTGAACAGGTCTTGGTGGTTTCCTTTTTCAGCAGGGCAAGCTGGAGCACTTCCTTGCAACACACGAGGCCACGTGCTTCTTCTTCTTCCTTCCTGCCGCTTCCTCATTTTGGACCCTTTTGCTTTCCCCCAGGTACGAGGATGCTTTGGTTTTGCTGCTGACCGAAGTACTAAACCGAATACAGTTCAGATACAACCAGGCCCAGTTGGAAGAGCTGGACGATGAGACGCTGGACGATGACGTAAGAAACGGAGGTGGGAGGCGGGAGCCTATAGGCCAGTGGTGCCAAACCTATGGCACGTGTGCCAGAGGCGGCACTCAGAGCCCTCTCTCTGTGGGCACGCGCGCCATGCCCCAGAGATGGCAACCGTCCCTCTTCAACCAGCCGCCCACTAACTCACCGCGGTCCCACGTGGTCGGATGCATCCCAGCACGGCTGCTTTCCCTCCCCCCCCTGTCCCATCCCTCCTGGCCTCGCATGCTCTCCTTTTCCCGGGCACGACCCACTGCATCGCCTCCTCAGCTGTCGGCCAGCCTCCCAGCTCAGAGGCGGCTTCTCTGAACTGCTGTTGGTGGGTTGCAGAGCCCCAGAGTGTGCCGATCGAGGGGCCGGCAGGCTATGGCTGCTGACGGACACTGTCGGCCCCATGCGCTCGCTGGCCTCTGTGTGTGGGGGCTGATGGTGTCAGGAGCAGCCACCCTGGCCCCTCCCTTGCCTTGCCCTGTGACAATGGCACCCCTGCCCTGCCTCACCTTGCCCCACCTCATCCCGCAGGACGAGCCTCCTGCCCACTGCCCCACCTGCCAGAGACCCCCTGGATCTCTCCCAACCCTGCCCACCCCCCACAGGCGTCCCTCCCCATGAGCAACATCGAGGTGATCACGCCCACCTTGGCCACTCTCACCCAGTCTGCCATGACCACCACAGCCAGGCCCACCCAGTGGGCCACGCCCGCCTGGCACCCGACGATGCAAAAGTGGGTTTTGGGTTGTAGTTTGGGCACTCGGTCTCTAAAAGGTTCGCCGTCACTGCTATAGGCCGAAGTCTCCCAGCATTCCCTCCCGACAGCATCCGATTTGCAGCTTTCAAAGGACGGCCCAAAAGTGCTTTTTCCAACAGCAACTGGACTTGCTTTGTTTTTCCTTGAAGACGTTTCGCTTCTCATCCAAGAAGCTTCTTCAGTCGAACTAAAGAACTGAAGAAGCTTCTTGGATGAGAAGCGAAACAACTTCAAGGAAAAACAAAGCAAGTCCAGTTGCCGTTGGAAAAAGCAACTTTGGGACAACCAGGACCTGGATGCCTCATTTGGAGGATGTCAGGTTAAGTACCAGATCTAAACAAAGTCGGCATTAGGGGATTTTAAAGCAAGTTTAGATTTTGAACTGGTGTTAGGCTGGGTTTGGACAGGCCTGGATTCAAAATTCCCCCGGACAATAGAGCTCATCAAGAGACCTTGAATCATCCTTTTTTTTCACGGTTGCCATGTTGTGAGACCAAAAGTGTAGGAGGACACCCATTCTCAGAATAAAGGCAATGACATATATATATGCAATAGAGAACAATGCAAATAACATTTTGTGAAAGAGTCTCCAACTCCAAGGATCTAACTCCTGTTGTACTTGAGGGAAATGAGATAAAATGGATTATTTTATCCATTTTATCTTCCATTTCAGATTATAGACGAGTAACGTCATTTTCAAACCATCCACCATGCTGAAAATATTTCCTGTGATTTGGAAACCAGCACGGACAGATTAGGCCAGTGATGGCGAACCTTTTAGAGACCGAGTGCCCAAACTGCAACCCAAAACCCACTTATGCATCGTCGGGTGGCGGGTGGGTGTGGCCCATTGGGTCGGGCGTGGCTGCGGTGGTAACGGCAGACTGGGTGGGACTAAAAAGTTAAATCAATCAATTCCAACTTTGCGAGATCTTTTTTTTTCCCCACGAGAAGTTGAAATTGATTGATTGAACTTTTTTTTTTTTTTTGCACATGGCAGCAGAGGCCTAAAGCAAAAAGGTTTTATAAAACCCAGCTGAAGGCCTAGGACTGGGGCGACGGGGCGCGTGCCCACAGAGAGGGCTCTGAGTGCCGCCTCTGGCACCCGTGCCATAGGTTCGCCACCACTGGATTAGGACCTTTCTCCTTGGAGCGGTTTTGACTTCCTAATATAACGGCTTCCTCCCCCTTGTTCCAATAAGATCCCAGGTTTAGCGTTAAGAGCCTTAAACTTTGAAGGAAATAAAAATAGCTGATTATGTCTTTGTTTTTACCCCCCCTGAACAGCAACAGACCGAATGGCAGCGGTATCTCCTTCAGAGCTTAGAGGTTGTGGCCAAAGTTATGGAGCTTTTGCCATCTCACGCCTTCTCCACCCTGGTAAGCGGACAGAGTGAATGTCCTAAAAGAATAAGAGTTGAGAGGGATCTTAAGAGGTCATCTAGTCCTGTTCCCTGCTCTGTGCAGGACCCACTAGAGTAGTGCTTCTCAACCTTGGCAACTTTAAAGGGTGTGGACTTCACTTCCCAGAATTCTTCAGCCAGCATGTTTCACGCTTCAGAGGTAGGACCTGGCCTGCCATTTGGGTGTAGCCTGGAAAGTCCTGTTTACGCTATTTGGGGGAAGAGTTAACTTTAGGGGGTTATTTGAAAACAGGAGTAGGTAAAAGAAGTTATGTTAAATAGGACAGGCTAACATCCTAGTTCAGTGGTGGCGAACCTATGGCACGGGTGCCAGAGGCGGCACTCAGAGCCCTCTCTGTGGGTACGCGCGCCGTCGCCCCAGTGCTAGGCCTTCAGCTGAGTTTTATAAAACCTTTTCGCTTTAGGCCTCTGCCGCCGTGTGCAAAAAAAAAAGGTTCAATCAATCAGTCAATTTCAACTTCTCGCAGGAAAAAAAAATCTTGCAAAGTTGGAATTGATTGATTGAACTTTTTAGTCCCACCCAGTCTGCCGTTACCACCACAGCCACACCCACCCAATGGGCCACACCTACTCAATGGGCCACACCCACCCGGCACCCGATGTTGCATAAGTGGGTTTTGGGTTGCAGTTTGGGCACTCAGTCTCTAAAAGGTTCGCCATAACTGTCCTAGTTAATCCTTCCCTGGCTCTCACTATTTGGCCCTTGCCCTGAGCACTCTCCTAAGTACAATATTGCTCATTGCTTTCTCCCAGTTCGTTTAATTTTACTCAGTATTTTTCAGCCTTGGGGACTTTTAAGACGGGTGGACTTCAATTCCCAGAATTCCCCAGCTAGCTACGGCGAGCCCACACTTCTTAAAAGTCCCCAAGGTTGAGAAACGCTCGGTCTAGCTAGAAGTTTAATTATTTTCCCCACCTCCCTGTGCTGAAAAGTTAAATCTGGTGCCTAAAATGAGGTGGTGAGAATCAAGCCAGAGTAGTTGGCAAACTTTATTATAGAGAGAAGATTTGAGGGAAATTCTAATCTCGGAACCCAAATAGATAAGAGCAGCTTCATTTCTAGGCCTCTGCAGAACTCTCGAATGTTCCTACTGGTTTACTACTTACCGCACTAGAAGTGATATCACCAGTTTGTAATGTTCTCCTTCCTTATTCACGATATGCTCACATGGTTGGTTTGTTTTTTTGCAGCATGCTTGGGGTTTTTTTTGTTTTAAAAAAAGCTTTTTGAATCTCATGTCCCTGTCCCAATAACATTGGAAGCATGTGATTAGCCACCGTGTAGACAATAAAAGCGGCTTCAGAAATGAAAGCCGCTCTGTGTTTCTTCGTATTAGTGGACGGATGGGTCTTTGCAGGCTCGTGTCACATCCCGTTGAGTAGCAGGGCATTTATTTCCAAATATCTCGAGTGGTCGAACGAAAAAGAAACAGGCCACGTTTGTTTTCGGTTACTTCTGCAGTGTGATTTTGTTTCTTTTCCCATTTGCTACACAAGGGTAACTTCCTCGTGTTATTTTATTAAGAGAGAGAAGGTGGCTATTATGTCCGTCCTAATCTTTGAGTCCATTCTAGAGCTTTGACCCACGAGTCTCTAATTCACATTTTTACGCCAAATCTATCCTGTTGACCTTTGTCCTGGGCTGAAGCAGCCTCCTTCTGCAGGAATCAATTATAGAATAAAAGAATTGGAAGGGACCTTGGAGGTCTTCTGGTCCAACCCCCTACTCAAGCAGGAGACCCTATACCAAGGGTAGGCAACCTTGGCTCTTTTATGACTAGACAATTGAAATGGTGTTTTGACACTGGCTGAGAAGGCCAGATTGGGAACCATGCCATGCAGCTATGCTGACCTTTCAAACTTAATTTCTGATATTTTTTTTTATTATTCATTGTGCTTGAGATGTCATCCATTTCGACTTTAATTCAGCTCTTGTAGTAATATCTTCCTTTTCCCTTTAGTTTCCAGTGCTCCAGGAAAACCTGGATGTGTATCTGGGACTCCAACAGTTCATTGTCACCTCGGGGACAGGTAAGATAAACTTCCTATGCCTTAAATGTGACCAATATTAATTAATATTAAGAGCCCTGGTGGCACAGGGGTTGAAGTGCATTATGGCAGGCAAACTCTGCCCGCAGTCTAGAGTTCAATCCTCACCGGCTGAAGGTGGACTCAGCCTTCCGTCCTTCCGAGGTCGGTAAAATGAGGACCCAGATTGTTGGGGGCAATATGCAAATCATGCTGACATTGTAAACGACCCAGAGAGTGCCATAAAGTGCTATGTGGTGATATATATGCCTAAAATGCTAAAATAACTACACTATTAATATAAGATTAAGTGGGCTACCGCTGATTTCAATCTTTCACACAAAAAAGATGAATGAACTTTTAAGCAAAAGAGGGTTCCACCCTACATGAAGTCCACGCCTACCAAGCTTCAAACTGGGCTGGTCAGCCAGAAAACTCCTTCCACGTGGCCGGTTGTGCATCCAGGGCTAGTCCTGTATTTTTGCAACATACTCATGTAGCTCGCGGCCCCATGATCAAGACCAAGATAAGTGACTGGATGACCTTAGAGGCAGTATATACCTGATCAAGCTGATTATAATTGCCTGGTATTTGAGGCCAGGTTGAGCAGAGGAGCAGAAATCCACCCTAGAAGGGTAGTGGGCCAAATTGGACCCATCTCTGCCAGCCTAAGAGTCAGGGCACTAACGCGAAAAGATCTCCGTTGAGATCATTTGAAAGGAGCTGAAAACACATCTCTCTGGAAAGGGACCGGGGGGCTGACACAGAAGAACAGCTCAGTTAGAATGTGATGGGGAATTCAACACCCATCTGCCCAGGTTTGAGAGAGGGCAAAATTTCTTACTAGGGTTGCATGTAATTCATCCTTGCCAGAATATCGGTGCCATTCCTAACGACTCTTTTTGTCAGTGGCCACAATCTGTAGGATCCGCCTGTTTCCTATTTCTCTTTTTGCCATTTTACCCACTCCCTTCTCCCTACCCCACTGGTAGCTGTGGCAAATGCACACCCCTTTCTCAGGGCTATACTTGAGAAGCCATTCCTAGCTCTATTCGATAAAGGGCATTGTGTTCAGGCACTAATAAATCAGCTTTTGAAGTTTTTGTTATTGCCATCTCCATCCTAAGCTAATAGCCATTTCTTGAACAGTTTCCAGAATCATTACAGAGACATAGGAAGGTGCAAAGTGAAGTGGTAGCTTGACATTGATTGACAGGGGTGTTTTAAAGGGGAGGACTGAAAAGCACGTTTTGGAAGAACACGCATTAGGACAGTGTAAAAATTGGCTTTACGTACACAGCACTGTCTAAGTCCACGCTAACTTTGTTCCAAAAAGCCCTGTATCCTTGAAATCATTTACAAGTAGTCCTGGACTTACAACCATTTGGTTAGTGACCGTTTGAAGTTACGACACTGAAAAAAAATGACTTAGGACCATTTTTCAAACTGAAGGACTGTTGCAGCATTCCCGTGGTCGTGTGATCAAAATTCAGGGAAAATTTCAAACAAGAATGAAGGAGAATTAAAGCAGGAATATTCTTTTCAGGAGAATCCTTTTGTTCAGTTGCAGCCACGAAAAGGCCTCCAGTTCAGAGCTGTGATAGCCAAAGCCAAATGCTTGCAATCTGATCCCAATCATTGTTTCATTTCCTGCAGAGGGAACATTATAATTACATTTCTTCTCTGAGAGCATCCTATGCTTCCAGAGTTATCGTTGTGGATGAGCTCAGTCCTTCGGTTCCATTAAGAGCAAAGCTGGGACTGGGCCAGGGGTGGGCAACCCTGGCCCCTTTACGATCTGTGGACTTCAACTCCCAGAATTCCTGAGCCGCTGCTAAGCTCAGGCATTCTGGGAGTTGAAGTGCGCAGGTCGTAAAGGGGCCAGCGTTGCCCCACCCCTGGACTTAGGGGATGGGGGAGCAAAGGACCATTTTGGCAGATTTCCCTAAATGGGGCAAGCCAACCCCGGGGTTTTACATCAAGGCATTTTGGCCGCCTCTCCAGGCCACCGGCTGAACATCACTGCGGAGAACGACTGCCGGCGCTTGCACTGCTCTTTGCGGGACCTCAGCTCCTTACTCCAGGCGGTGGGACGGTTAGCGGAATACTTCACTGGGGACATGTTCGCAGCCAGGTTCAGCGATGCTCATACCATAGTGGAGAGGTAGGTATTCCCCCAGGTGTATGAAACTGCCTAAAGCCCTGTTTCCCAACCTCGGCCACTTTAAGATGGGTGGACTTCAAATTCCCAGCATTCCCCAGCCTCTCTTCTATTTGCTGCCCCTGCTGCTGTTGGCTACAGACACTTCAATCTTAGCCCTTCTCTTTTTTCCCCACCATGCAGGACCTTTGAACTGTGTGTTATCGTAAGGGGGAGAAGGGAGGGATGTTGTGCAAGTAGTCCTCAACTTACAACAGTTCGTTTAGTGGCCGTTCAAAGTTACAACGGCACTGGGAAAAAAGCGACTTATAAACGTTTTTCACTTACGACCGTTGCATGCAGCATCCCCGTGGTCGCGTGATTAAAATTCAGAACACTTGGCAACCGTCTCATAATTACGACGATTGCAGTGTCCCGGGGTCATGTGATCCCCTTTTGGGACCTTCTGACAAGCTAAGTCAACCGTGTAATAATAATAAAGTTGGAAGGGACCTTGGAGGTCATCTAGTCCAACCCTCTGCTCAGGCAGGAAACCCTACACCATTTCAGACAAATGGCTGCCCAGTCTCTTCTTAAAAACTTCCAGTGTAATTGTGTAATTACAATCACAGTTACAGGAACCGCAGTGAGCCAGTCTCAGAATCCCAGGCACCATCTGAAATTATGAGGTGGCTTCTTTCAAAAAAACTAAAATGATTAGAATCAGCAAAGTTGTAACCCTGTAGGGCGGTGTTTCTCAACCTTGGTAACTTTAAAATGGGTGGACTTCAACTCCCAGAATTCCCCAGCCAGCTTGGCTGGCTGGGGAATTCTGGGAGTTGAAGTCCACCCAGGTTAAAGTTATCAAGGTTGAGAAGCACTGCTGTAAGGGGATAGCTTTGGGCAGTATCAAGACAGATCCAAAGCTTGAGATCAACTTTATATTACAGCAAGCAGGAAAAAAACCCTGTTCATTAATAAATTGTATCTCACCTTCTGGGTGGAGGCTCCGTGGTATCCGTAGCAGAACATACAGTATGTTGTGTATAGTGTGTTTTAAATGTGGGTTATGTATGTGTACACTTGAGAGCAAGCAACTCAGTTTCATTTTTAATGTGTGCCGTTGTGCCCACAGGGAGGGGAAAAAAATGACAATAAAGGTTCTCTAATCTTTTCCCCCCTTAACCTGCTTTTCTAGGTTGGTCAAGGTGACTCTGTATGGGTCCCAGATTAAACTCTATAACATTGAAACGGCGGTGCCATCTGTACTAAAACCTGACCTTATTGATGTGTGAGTATGATGTGAAAACCGCAACACTAAAAGGCACTGCAAACACTTCTCCTAAAATCCAAGCCCTTTGTTGAACCCCGTAAATGTTGTCCTTCTGGAGTGGATCATCCTTGAGCATTGCTTTCAGAGACACCAAGAGCCTATTCTGGGATAAGGTGGGCTCAACAGGGGGTTGAGTTATCCCAACCAGGTTGAGTTATCCCAGCCACCTCCAGATATTCTTCTCCCGATGGTATTTCTCAAGATCCAAGTCATTGTCTCAGGCTTTGATAGCCTTCATGGATCCCAGAAGTGTTCCTCCTGGCTTCCCTTCTCCCACACGTCCCATTTATCAGCGATCTGTTGGTAGACTTTGACAGAAAACCCCTGGCCCCAAATATGGTGGGATGCTTAAGATCCCTGATTTCTTTAGCCCTACCATCTCTGCTAATCTCCTGCTATCCTCAGTATTCTTTATTTCACCCCAGCCAAATAAACTCCTGTATCCTGAGCCCTTTTGCCCTTCATCCCATTTGCGAAAGGACACGAGACAAGCTGTTAATGCTGTTGTACTAACGCTGGATACTTTGGGTGCATTAACTCTTACTAACGATGACCTAATCTTTTTCCCTTTCACCTCTGGGAAATAAAATCAATCCATATAATTTGAGATAACGTTCATTGGTGATGAATACAGAATCGTACGGCACAGGCCCAGCTTGGGCCCAGCCATCCTTCCAAAGTCTCCAGGCGTTGCCTTAATGGCAGTCTTTCTCAGCCTTGGCAACTTGAAGACCGGTGGACTTCAACTCCCAGAATTCCAGAATTCTCCCATGGCTGGCTGGGGAGATCTGGGAGTTGGAAGTCCACCGGTCATAAAATTGAGAAAGATTGCCTTATGGCACACATCCCTCCCCGAGCGTTCTCCTTCCTTTTTAACGTTAAGGTCCCTTCTCTTTCCAGACACGCACAATCCCTGGCAGCCCTGCAGGCTTATTGCCACTGGCTGGCCCAGTTCTACGGCGAGGTTCATCAGCAGAACCTGACCCAGTTTGTCTCCTTGGTCTCCACTGCTTTGGAAGCGATTGCTCCGTTGATCAGTTCTAAGGTATCTTCTGCCCAGCTTTCCGTTTTCTCCTCCTACGGCCAGGCGTTGCTTTTATCTGTTGACAGATCCCTTCTCTTGCTCCAGAGCTCCATTTTCAACTTTGCTAAACTTCTTTTTTGGTTGGGGGGCTGGGGAGGGGGAAGGTGAATGGCAGAGAACTCACCATCCCAATCCAGAACAGAGGCAGATGTTTTACTGAATTCCTGCTTCTCCTCTGCCCGGTCCTTTGTATTTTAGAGAACTGATTGATTTCGGTCTTCTTGGAGATCCTCGAGTTTTTTTTTCAGTTCAGGTCTGTCTTACGAGGGGGAAAGGGAAGTTAACTGCTCCTCTCCCCCCTCCCCCCCAAATCTTGACTTCTGGAGATACTAGATTGCTGCTCCTAAAATCCACAATCGGCAGAAACATGGATACCTTGCTCAATAGTAGTAACTGTGAGAGGGATCTCGGAGTCCTAGTGGGCAATCATTTAAATATGAGCCAGCAGTGTGCTGCAGCTGCCAAAAAAGCCAATACAGTGCTGGGCTGCATTAACAGAGGGATAGAATCAAGATCACGCGAAGTGTTAATGCCACTTTACAATGCCTTGGTAAGGCCACACTTGGAATACTGCATCCAGTTTTGGTCACCGCGATGTAAAAAAGATGCTGAGACCCTAGAAAGAGTACAGAGAAGAGCAACAAAGATGATTAGGGGACTGGAGGCTGAAACATATAAGGAAAGGTTGCTGGAATTGGGTATGTCTAGTTTAATGAAGAGAAGGACGAGGGGGGACATGATAGCAGCCTTCCAGTATCTCAGGGGCTGCCCCAAAAAAGAGGGAGTCAAGCCATTCTCCAAAGCGCCTGAAGGCAGGACAAGAAGCAACGAGTGGAAACTAACCAAAGAGAGAAGCAACCTAGAACTAAGGAGAAACTTCCTGACAGAACAATTAACCAGTGGAACAACCTGCCTCCAGAAGTGGTGAATGCGCCAACACTGGAAGTTTTTAAGAAGAGACTGGACAGCCATTTGTCCGAAATGGTATAGGGTTTCCTGCCTGAGGTTGGACTTGATGACCTCCAAGGTCCCTTCCAACTTTATTATTACTATTGTTATTGTTGTTGTTATTAAAGATGGAGACCCAGCCCATCTTTCCGAGTGCTGTGCTGAATGAAATATTATTATAATAATAATAATAATAATAATAATAATAATAATAATAATAATAAAGTTGGAAGGGACCTTGGAGGTCATCTAGTCCAACCCCCTGCTCAGGCAGGGAACCCTACACTATTTCAGACAAATGGCTGTCCAGCCTCTTCTTAAAAAACTTCCAGTGTTGGAGCATTCACCGCTTCTGGAGGCAAATTCTTCTAGATGTTCCTCTCCTGCCGCCTCAGAGGACGTTGCAGAGAAGCGGGACTTGGCTAAGCTGAGTTTAGTGGTTCCCAGGGGCCGGTGTTTCTTTTGCAGCTTTTCTGTAAACATCTGACCTCTCAAACAGCTGTCCATTTCCTGACCTTAAATAAAGCCTTTCATTTATTTATTTCCCCATCCCCAGCAGAAACTGAGGTCTCTCGTTTTAAATCTCCCTTCCCTCTCTCCTCCCATCGTTCTCCTCCCGCCCTGCCCTGCCTCCAGGTACAGGAGAAGCTGCTCTTGTCGGCCTGCCATCTGCTCGTCTCCTTGGCCACCACCGTGCGGCCCGTGTTTCTCATTAGAGTCCCAACCGTGCAGAAAATGTTCAACAGGATGACCGACAGCTCTGCTCAGCGGCTTTCGGATAAGGTAAGGACGACTTTTTTTGGGGGGGGGAACCAAGCTCAGGCATCCTGGTTAGATGGCCAGGCATTCTGGGTCAGTTTAAAACGCCAGTACTTTCAGCATCACAGTCTGGTTTGGAAGCATCCCTGCTTCAGACAGGAAGGCGGTGCAGAGAGTGGTGAGAATGGCCGAAAAGATCATTGGCAGTTTCCTCCCTCCCATCCAGGACATAGCACAGAAGTGCTGGTTGAGCAGGGTCCATAAGATTATCTGGGACACCACACATCCTCTTCACAACCTGTTTTCCTTGTTACCTTCTGGGAGGAGGGAGCTCCGTGGTATCCGTAGCAGAACATCCAGATTCATCCATAGTTTCATTCCATACAGCATCAACCTTGTGAACTCTCAAGTTTCCTCCTTCCGTTATGTATTCAAGATGGACAGTGTTTAATATTTATTTGCTACCTATAGGTAGGGGTGTGGGTCTATACATACAGTATGTTGTACATAGTATGTTTAGGTGTGTGTCATGTATGTGTTTCACTTCGAGAGCGGGCAACTAAATGTCATTTTGGATGTGTGCCGTTGTGCCCACAGTAAAAAAAAAATGACAATAAAGGTTATCTTTTATCTTATCTTGTTCCCGAAACAAGATCTTGCCAGATTAAAGCACAAATCTGATCACTACTAGATACACCCTGTGGAAGGTTAGGGAGGGCCAGCCCTGCTTCTCTTCCTGCACCCCAAGGCTTCCATTCTGAGCTGCCTCTTTTTTGCCCCTTGGGAAAGACCCCCCCCCTCCTTCCTGTGAACCTGTGCCACCTTCCACTCCATCTTGCCTGGGAGGAAGCAGGTAAACTGAGGAAGGCGCCCTTGATGGAGATGTGCAGAAGCCCTTGCCTAGGCAAAAGGGGCTGAAACACACTGACCCCTCCCTAATTCACTGGAACATAAGGGGTTGCGTAGATCCAACACAAGCAGACTTGCGAGATTCTCTCTCCTGATGGCCCATCTCAATAAAAGCGGATTTAGCTTTCCTGTGAAATTGACTTCCTAGTCCGGTCTACGCGGTAAGGCTGGCAAGTAACAACAGAGTTAAATTGGCAGGAATGCTGGTTGGAGTTGAATCCAGCTGCCCAGGTTGAGAATCACCAAGACAGAGAAATAGCAGAAATCAACAAACAAATGTGGTGATCAGTAGTTTTATTTTACTCGTTGTGTTTATTGAAGAAGCTGATTAGATGGGCAGGCATTCTGGGGTCAGTTTGAAACACAAGTGGTTTCGCTCTTGTTCCTGAAACAAAACCCGAGGGAGAGATTGGACAGCCATTTCCTCTGGAACACCGTAGCCTCCTGCTTGAGTAAGGGGTTGGACTAGAAGACCTCCAAGGTCCCTTCCAACTCTGTTATTCTGTATTCTGCAATGCCAGGGTCGGAGAGCAGCTCCTGGCTGCACAGCCTTGCTTCTTCCTCTCTCTAGCCTTCAGCTTGGTCCATCTTCCTCTCTGCAGGCCCAGATCCTCTTGTGCAGGTCGCTGTCAAACATTCTGCTCCTCCCGTGGCCAAACCTCCCGGAAGCTGAACAGCAGTGGGCCATTCGTTCAACTAACCATGCCAGCCTCATCTCGGCCCTCACCAGGGATTACCGCAGCCTGAAATCCAGTGCCATCTTACCCCAGAGGAAAAACCAGCAGGACAATAGTAAGTTGCCCCAGACTTTCAGCAGACATTGGGGACTAGCCACGTGTTTAGGGGTGGCTTTTGAGAGCATCGTTTATGCCCCTGTTTAGGTAGCTGGCTGAAAATGGCTACTGAATTCCTGGCAGTGTGTTGCAGCAGGCCTCTCTTTTTTTAGGCTGTGTTTTTGGAAGTATTATTGATCTTCGTTTCTTCCTTACTGGGGTCTCTGAATTCCTGTTAAGGGAGCATTTTCCTTAGGTTATCCCAAGAAAAAGCAAGGCTTTTCCTCAGAATTAAGAACTCAGAACTAAAATCTAGTTTAATGTCTAGTTAAATGAAAAGAACGACTGTGGATAACGTGATAGCAGTGCCCCAATATTTGAGGGGCTGCCCCAAAGAAGAGGGAGTCAAGCTATTCTCCAAAGCACCCTAAGGCAGGACAAGAAGTAACAGGTGGAAACTAACCAAGGAGAGAAGTAACCTAGAACTAAGGAGAAATTTCCTGACACTTAGAACAATTAATCAGTGGAACGGCTTGCCTCCAGAAGTTGTGGATGCTCCATCACTGGAAGCTTTTAAGAAAAAAATGGACAGCTATTTGTCAGGGGTAGCATAGGGTTTTCTGCTTGAGCAGGGGGCTGGACTAGAAGACCTCCAGTATCCCTTCTAACTCTGTTATTCTGTATTCAGCTTTTCAAGCAAAAAAAATCCAGCCCAGATTTAAACTAGAAGCTACATTCTATAGGTCAGTGGTGGCGAACCTATGGCACGGGTGCCAGAGGCGGCACTCAGAGCCCTCTCTGTGGGCACGCGCGCCGTCGCCCCAGTCCTAGGTCTTCAGCTGGGTTTTATAAAACCTTTTCGCTTTAGGCCTCCGCTGCCATGTGCAAAAAAAAAAAAAGGTTCAATCAGTCAATTTCAACTTTTTGTGGGAAAAAAAAAGATCTTGCAAAGTTGGAATTGATTGATTGAACTTTTTAGTCCCACCCAGTCGGCCGTTACCACTGCAGCCACACCCACCCAATGGGCCACACCCACCCAAATGGGCCACACCCACCTGGCACTCGGCAATGCATAAGTGGGTTTTGGGTTGCAGTTTGGGCACTCAGTCTCTAAAAGGTTCGCCATCACTGCTATAGGTGGCACCCCTCCACCTTGGTAGGTATTCTGGAGCTTGCACGAGAAATGTGTGAGGTTTTTAGACACTGATGGTGCAATCTAGAAGAAGGAGGAGGTGATGATGAATGATGATGGTGACGCAGTATCAAGGTTCCAGATAAATCCTTTGTTCCAGTGGAACTCAGTAGATGATTTTTTAAAAAAACAAAGCAACGTGAAGCACCCATGGTGCCTTCGCTCAGAAAGAGATTAAGCATTTTCCCCAGAAGCCGCTGGCAGGACCAGAAGTTGGCAGACATCATGCAAATATACTTTTTGTTTAGCTTAAAAATTCCTGTTTTTGATCCTCAAGGAACTTGTCCCAACAGCTCATGTTCCCAAGCTTTCTTTGAAAACTTGAACAGGCTGTGGGGGTTTTGGTTTTTTTCCCTGAGATTTTGAGAAATGCTATCCATTTTCAGATAAAAAGAGAATGTTTGGGGATGAGGTAAGAGTATTAAAACAACTTAAAGCCTGTTAGAAAAAGGAAAAAGGATTGGAAAGCTTTTAAATTGGATTTTTTGTTATATCGTTTGCAAGTGATGTTTATACTAATAGCTGTATTAGCCTCAGCTTTGTCAAGACGTTTTGCCTTGACACGAGAGCTATAAATAACTACATTTATTAAAACTGGTTTGAACCTAATTGCATGCAGCCAGCATCACTGATGCTTAGGGTAGCTATCGTAAGTAATTAGTAGCGGGCAAAATGTTTTGTTTTGGACTGTATTCGGTGCAAAAATCCCCGTAACAACTTGTACACGGGCAAAACTGAAGCTCTTTCAGAAGCGGGCTGACTCAAGACAAGAGTTTTGTGTTTAGAATTCGAGGTTGCCGTTTGTGGCCTTGCAAGAGGGCATTTTGTAAAAAGCCGCGCGGGGGAACAGTCTGAAATGAAGCCCTTTGAGAAACGGCCTGCGCCCTTGTGCAAAGACGCTTTGCCAGGGGTGTCATTTTTGCAAACTAACCTATTTATGGAATTCGTTCACCCCGGTATTTAGAAATGGACAACGCAAGAAAAATTACCTACGTGCCTGCCTTTATGTGGCCATTGATCACATGTTCAGACAGTAGGATCAGTAGTGGATAGGAAGATTTATTCTGGTACACAAAGAAAATATCGCCTCCCCAGTCTCCCATGATATTTCCTGAATTTCTGGAATCTGGGGCATGCCGCTTCCATAAATTAAAGTTGAAGTTTAAAGTTTAAAGTTAAATTAAAATCTCAGCAGGAAAAGAGCTACTACTTTTCAGAAGACCCTGCCTGTTCTACAGGTAGTCCTCGACTTACAGCCACAATTGAGAGCCCTAGATTTATGTTGCTAAGAGAGACAGTCATTAAGTGGGTTTTGCCCCACTTTACGACCTTTCTTGTCACAGTTGTTAAGTGAATCGCTGCAGTTGTCAGCAACCCGGTTGTGAAGTGAATCGGGCTGCCTCCATGGAATTTGCTCGTCAGAAAGTCGCAAAAGGGGATCACGTAACCCCAGGGGACACTGCGACCGTCATAAATGTGAATCAGTTGCCCAGCCTCCAAATTGAATCGCCTGACCCTGGAGGCGGTGCAGATGTGAAAAATGATCATAAGTCCCTTTTTCCAGTGCCGTCGTAACTTTGAACAGTCAGTCACTAAATAAATGGTTGTGAATCAAGGACTACTTGTACCCCCCCCCCCAGAGAGGTCCATTGGAACGTCAAACCGTTGTTAAGCAACTGGTCGTAAGTCAAGGATTTCCGATCCCGTGATTTGTGTGGCGCTGCAAGAGAAGCCCATTTCTGGATGGAGTTCCTGGAAGTCTTTATGCCTTTCCCAGGGAACTCAACTCTTGTGGAAGGTCCAGCTGGGGAAGGGCGACCCACTGCCTACTTTCCCTTCTGAATGTAGTTGCTGACGCTGCTGTGGGGTGATGGTTTCCATGTTTACTCTTGATCTTGCAGCAAAAGTCCTCATCCACCAGACTCTGAGCGTCCTGGAAGATATTGTGGAGAGCGTCTCCGGGGAAGCCACCAAGTCTCGCCAGATCTGCTACCAGTCACTGCAGGAGTCCGTCCAGGTGTCCCTTGCCCTCTTCCCAGCTTTCATTCATCAGTCAGGTATCCACCCACATCAGCTTCCCCCAGCCCATCCAACTTAATATGTCCGTCTCAAATTAAAGCAGGACCACCATCTTGGATCATACAGAATACCTGTCAACGCTGCTAATATTGAATATTCTTGCTTTGACAAAATATACAGAACTGCCTGGTATTTTTAGAGTTAATTCAGATGATGGGGGGGGGAGGAGAAAGATAGGACTGCACTCGGGAAGTGAATCTTTGACCTCCAAGTTAATTGGAAGATATGAATCATGACCCCCAAAATAGGGGAGGGGAAATGCCTGGAATGTTATGTGCAAAGGGAAGGGAAATTCAGATCTTGGCATCCATCATGCTGTGCTGACACGTCTCTGCTAATAAAGGGGTTTTTTTTGGTTAAACCATGCCTGAAAATCCTTTGAAGTGTTTCATTAGTCAGACACATGACAATACCTTGGTCCAAAGAAGAAGGACAAGAACAGGGCAAAAATTAAACTGGATGTCATTTCTATTGAATCTTCATGTTAATCTGATCATTCTTCAGTCCTGTGTTTAATAAATCGGGCCCCGCTTCAGTCACGGACCTGCTTTTTGAAGGATATCCACCTTCCGTCTTCCCCGCCCATCATCTGACAAAAATTTTAAAAAAATGAAATCAAAATAAATCAAATATAAAAATAATAATTAAAACACAATTAATTAAAAACTCAGTTGCCATTCAGTGGAATGTCACTGCTGGATAGCTCAACTGTAGTTTCTGGATTTCAATTCCTGGCTGGGTCCATACGTCTTAAAAGTTGCCCATGTTGGACACACACCCCGCACTAGAATTTAACAGAAACCATTCCAAGCTGTTGCCTTGACACAAAGAGGTTAAATTTGGCTTTGGGCTGTTGTTGTTATCTTTTTAGTACTTCTAGTGCTTTGGAGAGGCCTGTCATCAACCACTCCACTTCAGATCCTTACAGGAAGAGATGAGTTAATGTCTTAGTGTCCGTGGCCTTGTCTATCTGAAGTGGGATACACACTGGAAAAACTCACTGGGGAAGAAGAGCAGCTTTCATTCCTCTGATCCTTGTTTCTTCTTGCCTCTTTTTCTGTTTGTCAGATGTAACAGACAAAATGCTAAGCTTCTTCCTGACCCTGTTCCAGAGTCTGAGGGTGCAGATGGGGGTGCCTTTCACCGAGCAGGTGATACAAACATTCCTCAACATGTTTACCAGGTAATGCCTCCGCGGAAACCCAAGAAGCGTCCACTGGTTGTCATGTTCACCTTGAGTAGTTATAGGGAAGATTTTGCTGCTAGAAAGGCAGGTGTCTGTTCATCTGTCAAGGACCTAGTAACTGAACTGGTGGGAAATTGGGATGGGAAGGGGTGCAGCAGTGATCCCTCCAGATTGAGGGTCATCCCATTCATAAGTATTGCCCTGGGCATAGAACTAAAATATCACTGAGCACCAATTTGGATTAGTGGCAAAAGTGCTGGCCTCGGAACCAGGTAACGCACGAAAGCCAGCTGAGTGACTTTGGGCCAATTACCAGGAAACGGAGAGTTCTAGTCCAGTGGTGGCGAACCTATGGCACGCATGCCAGAGGCGGCACTTGCCTCCCCCCA